CACAAGGAAAAAAAGAAAATCTTCTACACATACATCCACAGAAAAGTCACCGAACAACATATGAGCTGAAGTTTCTGTTATTCAGTAATTGGTTTGCTTCTCGTTGACCAGTTTGCTTGTCGTCTATGACTTTGAGGTGGGCGAGCAGTAGATGGAATTAACATTTAAGAATTAGGAAATAACTAAGATGTGAACCTTTACTTTTTAAGAAACTGACATCATATTATTTGGAGATTAAAGCACTCCAAACTAGATCACAGTTTGAGAAAAATATGCATTTGGCATGGAAAATTCCCACTGAAATTCCCCTTTTTTTCTTGATGGGCTCTGGAGAATTAACTTTTCATTGTATTATTGCCTCTTATCAAAGCTATTTCATCACTGGTCTAATGGGAACTATATTATGCCCTGTTATGGTCTGAATGCTTATCTCCCCCCAAATTCCTATGTTGACACCTAATTACCAATGTGATATTAGAAGCTGCTCTTTGAGAAATGATTAGATCATGAAAGTGGAGCCCTAAGGAATGTGATTAGTGCTTTACCAAATAGACCCAGCAAACTGCTTATCCCCACTCACCAAGTGAGGCTGCAGCTAAAAGTCACTGTCTATGAACTAGGGAATAGGCCCTCATGAGACACTGAAATCTGCCAACATGTTGACGTTGGACTGCTCAGTATCCAGAACCGTGAGAGATAAAACCTTGGGGTTTATAAGCTACCTCAGTCTAGGGTATCTTGTAGCAGCCCCAAACAGACCGGACAGCCCTGTGCCTTTTGGGTGAATTTAATCACTTCCATCTATTGAGTACTACCGCCAGGTGCTTGATACAGCTCTTATTTGCTCTTCTTAACAGAGCTGTGAGGTATTATCACTCCGATTTTGCAAATGAGAAAAAGAGAGGTGCATAAAAAATTAGATAACTTGCCAAAGGTTGTGTGGCTAGTAAGTGGCCTAACCAGGAATCCTACACTTCCTGGGACTCCCAGGCATGACCTCTTTTGTCACAGTGCTTTGCTATTAAAAGAGAGATCAGGCTCAGCACCTGTGGCTCAAGTGGCTAAGGCGCCAGTCACATACACTTAAGGTGGCGGGTTTGAATCCAGCCCGGGCCTGCCAAAAAACAATGATGGCTGCAACCAAAAAAAACTGGCGGGCACCCATGGTCCCAGCTACTTGGGAGGCGGAGGCAGGAGACTCGCTTGCCTAGGTGTTGGAGGTTGCTGTAAGCTGTGATGCCATAGCACTCTACCCAGGGGGACAGCTTGAGGCTTTGTCTCAAAAAAAAAGAGAGATCAACTCTCTGCATTCTAAATAGGCCTTTATTCTCTTTTCCCTTCCCTCCCTTTCCTCTATTTCCACTTGAGATTACTCTCAGGTATCCAAAAATAAATTTCTTCATTGCCACCTGCCACTAAGAGGAAGAGCCCAAAGTTTATGCTAATCAGAAAATCTTAAAAGAATGGAAAAAACAAAAATAGTAAGACATGCCTTAAAAATCCTGCAACACACTTAGGAGTTGGTTGTGTATATTAAGCAGACATTATTGTTTGGGAAGTAAATACAGCAATGCATTATTTGATTCATTGAGAAATAAAGTGGTTCACATTTCTTGCAGACACTTGAAGACTCTGCACCCCTCTAATTAAGCATCTGAATTTTTAAATAAAAGTAACAAAGCAGCTACACTGAATGTAACTTTCTTCCGTTATCCTGAAGTTGTCATTACTAATAGCGTTGTAAACCATACATATCTACCGCTTCAACTTCCCTCATCTATTACGTCAACAATCTTTTATCAGTAGTCTATGATAAAGCGATTGATCCTTTTTTTCTCCCCCTTTCAGATAGTGCTGTTCATGTGGCTGAAATTTCTAAAGTTTAAGAGCCAGCCTGTAACTGTATTAAAAATATTTTCTAGTTGCATTAACCCCCTGGATACAATAGCATCCTGATCCTTGCAAATGTACGTTGTTTAGGTAATTGAAATACAGTCCTACTTTGATTAAAAAATTTTTTTGACAAAAGTATTCCTTACTTTTTGGGGAGCAAAAGGACATAAATTTAACTGTTCCCTTGATTTAGTCACAGTTATGAGTGCCTAATTATACTCAGTTGCAATACAACCATACTTTTAGGGCTTTGCTGTGTAAGGCTGTCCACCCATATGCTACATACCCCACACTCCCTTCAGACACAAGATTGGATCTTTGCACAGAGTATTTGGTCACTTCCCTTGCCTTCTAACATCCCACATCCCGCCCCACTGCCCCTCTCTTTGCTATCTCTGTATCTAATCCGAGTGGGCTTGAAAATATGTTAAATGAAGTTGTTACAATAATGTATCCATTATGTCAGTAGGTTCTTCATGAGATCTGCAGAGCTCTCCCAGGAGGAAGACAGTTTTTGCTTACAGTCTTTGTGGCATCTCTGCGGCCCGCACAGCTTCTTAGTGATTCTGTAAGCTTAAATAGTATTTTGATTATGTTTTTCATCTTCATATCTTCCTAGTTTCCTAACATTTATTGCTTAAAAATATTTAAGTAGAAAGTGTCTCTAAATCAAATTTTAATTTCAATAAATGTCCAGAGCAATGGCTACAAATTAACATGCAATTTGAATTGGTGATATCTGGCAATATGTTCAGAGAGACGGTGACCAAATCTTAATACCAGAAATTATGAAGGGCTGCCAATACGTTTTCTAGTGAGAAGCATTTAACTTTCCAGTGTTCATCGTGATAAGGTTGATAGTTCAACAATTTATTGCTGCTTTATAGTATACATAATTAAATGAAACATGTTAAACTCAAGGGAATTTTTAATAGGTTACTTGCAATTGTTATTGCAGGCAACAACTTGTACATGATTTTATTTCCAAATCCACAAAAAACAAATTTTATACAAATCAGCACTGTAAAAATGTCAATTACAGCCCCAGAGGCTTTGCTGGCAGAATAATTGTCTAAATTCTAGGATATGGGAAACAGGTTTTTTTTTTTCTGAATTCATCTTTTTTTTTCCATTTTCTTTCTTTTTTTATACAAAAAAATTTACAAGTGAAATGTTACTACAAAACTTTTTATAAGGAATTTTTGCAAAACATTTACATTTTACCATCAACTATTTCTGTTTTAAAATCATTATGTAGATTTAATACCCTATGCTGCACATCAATTTATGTGAGATGACAACTTAGTGACATGCATAAAAAAACACCACAAGGCATTAAAATGGAGACTTAAATACAAATATTGTTGCAATAAAACAGTTATAAAATTGAAAAATAGGACCTAAACATCATGCTTATCTAAGTTTGACAAATTAACTTTTTCTCCTAGATTACACACTTTTATTACTGCTCTCATGAGAGTGTGATAAATAATGACTTAACATCAAGTTCTAATGTAATCAGCAACACATACACAAACCTAACCAAAGAAAGTATACTGTAAGAAAAAACTATTCTAACACTGGAGTTTTACCATGATAAATACATAGCTTTGCACTGATAATTACAATAAAGAAAAGTTTTATAACGGTGGCAAAGGGAATGAACAGTGAAATGCCATTAAACAAGACTCTACTGCACATCTGTGCCCTATTACTTATAACAGCTATATCCCACTGAGTCAAATAAAGGACACTGAAATTTACGATTCTTATAAGACAGAAAAGCGGATTCAGAATGGTACGCAGAACAGACTGTCAAAATATTTCTAATTTCAGTGGTGAAATGTGCACCTGCTAACAAATTAATACATTTCATATGCTATAAAGCTATCCAGATTCAGTTTGATAAATTTATAATAGGCCTCATTGTTGATTAAAAAATAACTTCCATTTCTAACGAACATACATAGGTTTGCATTTAAACTAGTTTATGGAATAATGACGCAGAGTGCTCACACTTGGTATTAACAGCACAACAACAAAAGTGTCACTCTGAGAAAACATGATTAAAACATTAAGAAAGTTTCTTTGCATAAAAAAATTTATAGCACTGATTGTGTAGCATAATGATAGATAAAATATATATTTGATGTTTCAGCTCCTATATAATAAAATTAAAATTAACACTACCAAATGCTCCTTTGTACCAAACAAAACAACAAACTGATTCTGATGTTTTTAAAGCCAGATACATCAGTTGTTAAAGAGTACATTAAATAAAATATACAAAACAATTTACAAAATCCAACTAAAATTTAAAGACTCTGTTACAAGTCTACAAAAGCTTTAAGAAACTTGAAATTTATAACCACAGTGTAAAAATTTTTTTTCCTTTAATCTCAAAGCTTTTTTATACAAACTGAAAGCACAAAAGACCTTCAGTTTTATATAACGCTACAAAGGGCTGGCCTAAAGTGTACATAGTGTAAACAGTGATCATTACAGTATTTCTCCTTCATCAAAAATACAAGAAACATTACAATTTTGGAAGAGAATTCGATGAGTAGTACTTTTCCTGAAATAATAGCAAATGCACAAGAAAACATGTACCTACATTCAAACAGTCTCCAAACCAATGATGTTAATAAACTGAGCAGGTAAACACTTTCATTTTCAAATGGTAAATTTTGTTGATTATGATTCTGTGTAAATACTTTTTAAAAACATAAAATATCTTACTGATGTTTATTTAGCCTACTGGTACAATTCAAATTTTTTTCACATGAAATTTTTGGCCATCTTTCCTAATAAGACCCTTTCTATAAGACCCTGACATAAACAATGAAATAAATTTTCTTCTTTAATCACTTATTTGACTGAAAAGTATTCTCATTTTTCAAAAATAAGTTTTGCTTCATAATCATATTTATTACATGTTCATTGGCTAATTTTTAGGGAAAACTCAGTTATTCACATAACATTACTACTATATTATAAATTCCTAATTAACTTTCTAAAACCAAGCTAGAATTAAAATGAGACTGACCAATTTTTATAAGATTTAAACAGAATTATAATGTAGTTAAAAAGATAAATTTTCTGCTGGCCTTGAAAAAAAGTATGATTATTTTTTCTTTGGCTACCAAGTCAAAGCATAAAGAATTCTGCACATTGTCAACATAACTCATATTTACAGAATATGAAACTACAGAACGATTTACATTCTATGCAAATATTTCCGTTATAAACATTTAAAATGAAATTTTGTGGTTCAACCTAGGGTTAGAATATAATCAATCCTAACTTTAAAACATTGCATGTTAAATGCCTCATTTTATTTATCTGGAACTATTATGAGTTTTGCCTTAACCATTTCTCCCCCCAGCATTTTCCTAAGGTTTCAACCTAAAATTTAACCTAAGATTTAGTTCTAAGTTCCTCCTGTTGTCTCCAAATGGAGAAAGTAATTGGACTTCACTGATTGTCTGCATACACACTACTATAATGTAGTGGTAATAAAGATCTGAGATGCATCTCAGATTACTGTTTTGGAACTTACCTAATTCAACTGTTGAATTTCTAACATTTAGAAAAGACGGCCAAAACTATTTTCTGTTGATTTTCCAAAAATCAAGTTAAGGAAATACAGTATTATTCCTATCATCAGTTAACTAACTGTTTTCTGTGCTATAAAGAAATACATGTAAATTATTACTGGCTGAATTTGTAACAAAGTACTTTTAAAGAAATAAGTCCAATTAAGGTCCAGCCTGCAAAATACTGAGGTCTGTCTTTTAAAACATGTTAACACATCATATTAATAAGATACAGAAAGATTCTGTTTAAAGGTCATGTAATATATTTCCAAATAACTACAACTTAGAGTATGGAGGAAATACTTTTCTGTTTCCAGTACATCAGTTTGCTTTTTGTATATGTTAAAATTCAACACTTCATGTGTTGACCCAAGACCCTGGAATACTTAAAGAAGCCAAGAATGAAACATGATTTCCTACTCTGTAATCCACTTGACCAGCCCATTTCCAGAATTTCAAAGGTGTGTAAACTTAAGTGCAGCACTAGAGGTCTCTGTTATAAATAACTTTTCAGAATTCTTCCATGTTGGTTGAAACATTGGGAGTTGCTGGGTTCGAATCTTGAGAAATGGCTGCAACAGTGACAATCCTTGGGGAGCCAAGCACCTCTGTAACAGATGAGTCCAGTTCTCCCGAGGTAACAATGGCAAGAGCTGTCCCACCACCTTTCTTATTCTGGTGCGTTTTGACATGTTTGGAGAGATGATCACTCCGCATAAATCTTTTAGAACACTCTGGGCATTCAAATCTCTTTTCACCTGTACAAAAAAATAGCAAATAAAGTTATATATGTTTTACTTAAATGAAATTATAATTTTTAGTAACTTCTCTTCTGATCATACTATACCTTTTGTATGATTTTTGTACAGTTTGACTATTTGCAAAATAAATATGTTTTGTTTTATTTAAACGTGTTATCAAACAAACAGTGCAGTATAGGAGAAAGACCATGTGATTGAGAATAAACAAGCTGAGATTAAAGTCCTGGCAGTACAAACTGAAAATAAAAGCCGGAGCAAATAATAGCCATTTTGAATCTTGGTTTCCCCATATGAAAAATAAAGAGTTTAGTAACAGATGATTTTGAAAATCTCTACTAGTGGCTCGGCGCCTGTGGCTCAAGTGGCTAAGGCGCCAGTCACA